CCCCAAAACCCCAAAACCCCAAAACCCCAAAACCCCGTGAAACAAATTACAGGTTGAATAAATCCTGAGTGCAACTTTTAATCACCCTTGTTCTTTGATTTTAACTAAACATGTGCATTCTGGAACTCTAGTTCACTGAGAATAGATCTTGCTAGATCTTTGTCGAATTCACAATTTAAAATGTTAACAAACTGTAGGTTAGTCTTCAACACTGGCGAACATTTAGCAAGCCCGGTGAAAATATTTCTGAAATATCAAGGGTTTGTTTTCCAGGATGAGTAATTAGAGTGTCCTGTAGAATCGAAGCTTAGTTCAGTGAATTTAGCATCTGTAAGTTTATCTCCAAAGTCTCATTCGGTGCCAGCGATAATAGTACAAGCAAAGAATCTAATTGATGAACAATTCCTAGCTGCAACAATAATTTCTTCAAATTCTTCCTTATTTAATTTGCAATAGCTTAAGCTGAAATAGTTCTTGACTTTCTTCGCTATTTCGATCAAACTTTGGTGATAGTTTTGGTATTTATAGTGGCATGCTCCAGCATTGCTAAAATCAAACTCGAATTGATTTAAACTATCTGGACAACTATTCTTAAGGACCTTGCATAGCCGAGTCCACTCTTGGAACCACCAAACATGAGTGAATGTTAGGCTTTCAATGTTTGGAAGTTTTCTGATCTTTTTAATGATCTCTCTAAATCAAGGTGAAGAAGACCAGATAATAAATGCAAATAGTGATGGTTATGATACTCTGTTATACGAAATCATTCAAAACATAATGAGAAGAAAATTCAATCGATAAGGCAAAAATTGATGTAAAAATTATGTCTTGATTTTATCAAGAAGATTTCCCATCAAATTATGACTATTCAGTTAGAAGAAATAGTCCACTAAATTGTCACTTTTGAACTCTATTCTTCAGACATGCTATACTTTGAGGAGCCACTTTATTCTAGCGAATTCCACTTTTAGCAAACTTTGAAATCGAAATTTAAATTGCTGTAGCTTAATAAAAATCCTTTTCTTAGATTATATTCGGATGAACACTTTTAAATATTTCTCTAAAATCTTTCCAGTTTCACAAAATTTTAGAAAATTTCCAAATTATCAAAAAAGAAGAGTATTCAATAATAAATCGTCCTAACTGAGTATTTCTTCATCCTAGCTCTAAATATCTGCCATGCTCCTTCCCACTAATGAAGGCGTTCTAAAATCGGACAATGCAGGTACCTGAGGTCCCTCTGGCTAACAGCCACTTACCCATGAGCATTAAGTCTTAAGACGAGGCATGAAGTGTCGTCTATATCTATATGGGTTCCAAGAGTTTCTTGGTATATTCTTTTGAACTCATTTATTCTTTGCTCCTGAGTTTGCTTATCTTCTGCCACATCTTCAGACTGAGCTTCTTTACTCTAGTCGTTGTAGATAGAGACTGGCTGAAGGCCTGGCTCTCTCTGGGAGAACTGAGGAGATAGGCGGCTTGTGCGTTGGGATAATTGCGTGTTGGATTGGCCCTCAGGCTCAGTGGGTGTTGAGCTAAGTCCAGGCTGTGCTTGGGTGTGACTGAGGGGTTGTAGAGAGTGATTCTTGGATTCTTCGAGGGAGGTAGTGAGCTGAGATATCCTTGCTGCTTGCTGTTCGATTATTCTGTCTTTGGCTGCAAGTTCTTCTCCCATAGCCTCTCTAGTTCTTTGTACAATTGCCCTAGTAGATTCAGAGTCTTCAGATGTAGGCATCATCCTTCTGAGTGTGGTCAGTGTTTCTTCTCCAGGAATGAGTAAGTTATACTCAAGTGATTGCGCCAAATCATTGCAGAGGTTGCTTACTTTAGAGCTTGTGATTACTCTAACAAGTTCTTGGCATTCTTGGATATGTCTTCAGAAATCTGAAATATTCCAATCAGCCTGGTCGATATTTGCTAAAATTTCTGAATTCTGAATCAGCAGTCTATCGATGGATTCTTCAAACTGAAGAACATCACTATTAGCAACAGAGTAGAATATAGAAACATTATGCAACTCTCAATCTGTCTTGAGTTTGTTGGTGAGATACTTCGCTATAAAAACCCATCAGATCTTCCCTCTCCCTTCCTTACCAAAACCCAGTGCTCTCTCTGCCAGCTTATAATCAGGCAACGGGTCTGCCTGATATCTCCAGAACCGTTCACTTGTACACTTAGAACACACTATTATTCCAAGTGAGGGGAATGTGCCATGTAGGTGGCTCAGTGCAAGAAGGAGTTTTGCAGGTGAGGGCCATTGGAGGAAATTTTTATTAAGGGTTGGCAAGGGGGGTTATGTGGGGTTTTGGGGTTTTGGGGTTTTGGGGTTTTGGGG